GTTTGGGTTCGGATGACGGTAATAGGTATGTGTAGGCTCGGATAGCTGATTCGGGATCTCAAGAATGTTGAAATTGTATTCTATAAATTGGAAATACACACCTAAATCTCTGGTTATTTCCAATCCGTATTTGGTAATACGAAGTATTATCGGGAAACATTTTTAAACATCATTAATTTTCAAAATTCGATAGTACTCGTATAACATATGAATAATGTACACAATATAACAATAGTGACGATTTAATCTACGTGAAACTGACACTATAATGTTAGCACAATAGCCTAAGAGTCTAAGACCACTCCAACAAACTTTTCTTGGACTTGTTGGACGTTGTTGAAAATGTATTGGAATTTGTAGGAATCTATTTTAAAAGTTATTTTATTATAAAGTTCGTAGTTCTAAACTCAAAACTAGCTCTACAAATTAAAATAAAACATTAAAAACTGTTTCAAAATATACACATTACAATAAGTGACATTGTTGGGCTATTGTTGGACTATTGTTGGACGTTGGACAATAACTAAAACAATTTTATGAATTGATAAGGCATATAGTTCAAAAGTTCATATACAATCAGTATAAAAGAAATAAACAACCAGAAGTATGAAAAATGTTTAACAAACGCATGTTTACCCATCATAGATAGAGAAATATGATGCAAACGATTTTTCCGGAATTTAAAATCATTATTTTTCTTTAAATGGTATTCCTCTAGCAACCTAACCTTAATCACATTTTAGTAAATTTTCAAAACACTTTTTCCCTAGCACTAAACATAACACTACACATGAGTACATGTTTATAAAGTTTTATTTTTCGTAATGTTTATTGCTGGTGTTCAACAACTTTTGAAACTGGTCCAACGAACATCTTTACACGTCTTAGATCAATAAAAATTGATCCAACAATTTTGGTAAATATTTTAAATGATGAATTCTTCAAAATTTTAGCAGAAGTAGTATCACGCCTTCCAAAAAGCGAAATCACCATCATTAAAGGCGACTTAAACGCAAAAGTTGGAGCATGCTGCACCGGAGCAAATATAACCGGAAAGTACGGGCTCGGCGTAAGGATTGGAAGCGAATTAAAACTGATTGAATTTTGCCAGATTACATACATGGTAATAACTAACACCCTCTTCAAGCACCATCCAAGAAGACTATACATGTGGACCTCATCAAACGGAGAGTACAATAATCAGATTGATTACTGCCTAATTCCATCAAGGTAGACAACCTGCAGTGTTGAGAACATCAAAACAAGGCCAGGAGCAGATTGTGGATCAAACCACCAACTGCTGGTGGCAAAGCAACGGATTCATTTGAAAAATTGATCTATCGTTTATACCTAATTTGGCTGCACTGAATCAGCGGATCATCCGTCCTATTTTCAGAAGCAATATCACTGAACTCAGAGAATTTACAAATCTTCTGATCCAAACCCTAGAAAATAGTACACAATCGGTCATAACGTGAAAATCGTAAGTGGCTTGCTCTCTTCGGGTAATTCCAAAAAAGAAAATTACGGATTCCAGCTCGGATTCCCATTACGAACATCTCACATTCTCACAAATTGTATGTTATGTAATACATAGATACTGCAGCATCGATTTAATAATATAATAATATGTTTGAAGCTCAACAATACTCCGAAACACATAGTGCGCGCCATGTTATAATATAATAATATATATTACTACAAAGAAAATTTGCGAACTTAAACATGTGCACGGCGTGGCAATTGCGGTGGCGGCTGGGGGAGGGGAACGAAAAGATTTATAGCCGATCTGATCTCTAAATATATATAAATATATAATGTATAAATAAATCGGGTCGGAGATGATTATCGGGAACGCGCAAGCGAGTCGAAAAAAACGATTTATATTATATTATATTATTATTATTATTATTATAAATATTATATACATCGACAGTGTTCAGTTCCTTGCCCATACCTCTACCTACCCGCCCAATCGAACCTAGGAGATATCACAACTCCTTTTTTTGACGTCGATTAAGCTCGTCGTATACGCCCACCCACCGGCAGAGGAGCGTCATCGATACAACGACGTTAACCGAACGACGATTCTGCAATATACACAATAAATTAATAATAATACATATTGTAAAATATATAATTTTTAATTACTGACGGCTGCAGCTAATGCCTCGACGACGATTCTGTACGGTATAATATTTGCTCAAACGATTGCGTTTTCCTATTATATTTACACAACAGCGGCAGCGGCCGTCTCTCGTTAAACAAACGCTCGGAATGCGTCTCTTACAGCAGCAGCTCCCTACAGACCACAAAATGCGTACTGTAACGCTCGACGATTGTCATTATTTATATAATAATAATAATATGTATTTTACGCTGCTTCGACGGCCGAACAAAAACGATTAGTGACGACGACGACGACTGCAATAATAATAATAATTGATATCTACGATTTCACATTTGATTTTGTTTTCTGGTGATTGGTGATGTTTAGCGGGTACGACGACGACAACCATCGTAAAGGTCGGACGACATAATCGGTCGGAGAAAACCGTTTCGCATTATATTATTATCATTATACGATTCGACGACGATATTTTATACGAGCACCACCCGTCGTCGTCATTGCGAAACAGTGTTCAAATTTTCAACTCCAACATTCTTTGCGACTAAAAACTTTGTAGCCGGCCCAGAAGCGGTTCGTGATTATTTCAACGGATTTTCAATCGCTATATTTAAATTTATTATTATATACCGTTCGCAAAAACTATTTCATATATTATTACTCGTATAATCTCAAACTATGTTTTTTACACGTTTTGCAGATAACAACGATTGTACGTAAGTTATTCAGGAACGAAACAGCTCGTTTTATATTATGACAACCGCCTCACATCGACATTTTATTATGTTCGATGAAATAACAATAAAAGCAGAGAAATTAAATCCTAAAAGTTTAAAAAATTCGGATTTATATTCCATCATAATTACTTGAACTTATTCGATTACTGTCTGTATAGTGTCTATGTCTCAAAATCCCTTCGACGTAGCCATGCAGCTGTGTTTGTCTGTGCGATGCAGTCGTTGAATCTTTGTAGCTGAGGTGACGAAATAACTGAAATTAAATGTAAAAAATAGACCATGTAAGCATAATGTATTTCTTAAAATAGTTTTCTACCACAGATATGACAATATTATATATCAAGTGATTTGGAGCTCGCGAAAATACGATTTCATCACGCGTTTTTAAAGAATATTATCAATATGTGAAAAAGGGTAACGTGAACCACTTTGAGTTATGATAAGTCTACAACGTATTTTTTTTATTTTGGAGCATCTGATATATTTAAATTTAATAATTTTAATACCAAAAGAAATTGTGTAGCTCAAAATAATAAATAAAATCACTTTTTTTATTTACGAGAAAAATCTGCATTATAAACACCTGCAGTTTCGTACAACTTGGGTCAATAATCATTGGCCATCGTAAATCACTATCCCCAACATATGACTTACTAATAGTTACAATATTAGGATGCGATATTTTATCCAAATCCTAATTTGACGCGGTAAAGCACGACTGACCTATACCTTTTTAGCAACACGATTGAGCATAGAATATGTTATGCAATGTTGCCAAATTCACATTGCCAAAATGTTGTACTTAATTTATTATTTTAACGTAACATTATCAAACTCAAACAAACTAAGAACCCAGCCCAGCTTCATCGAAAAAGTTATCGATTGATAGATTAGTTCCCGAGCAATAAATATTAGTTTTATCCGTAATGAAATTCCCGTTATAGTGCGATATTTAAACATTTAGTAAACATTGTTTAAACAAAGATTTTGTTAAAACAATTAAAATTTGGTAACTGGGAAAAAAACATTTAATATTGGGAGAAAATATGAGATTATTAAGATAAGGAACGATTCCGAAATTATTATAGGAACAGTTTAATAATATCCGTAGCGTTCGATCACGTACAGTCTATTTTCAGATTATTTGTTTAATATAGATTTTAATGATATAACAATAATTTTATCGAAAACATTTAATTATTTATACCATATTTGAATTACTATAATTGTTTAACCTTTCAGCAGGCGCGTCTGCACTTTTTTTACGATAATTATTATGAATTTATTCACATAACGTTTATCTATGTGCCCCGAGTAATACTGGGTTTTTTCCAATTCCACAATGACGTATTTATTATTTATACTTAAAAAATTGTATTTAAATAATTAAATTTTAAATGATTATTTTCTTACTAGTCGACTATAGTTGACTAGTCCACTGACCACTAATATCCCTCCATGAAGTGCTATTAATGAATAGCTTCTTCAATCAATCCAATCATAACCCATTATGTACCCCTCCATTGTGCTTATTGTAAATATTTTTCTTACAGATTTTACAAATTAAATAAATATGAAAAAAAAAATTATACAAAAAATTATAAAAAAATATGTATACTAATACAAAATATTATATAAATAAGAGTTAAATGTTTCCAAACAATATTTGTATTAAAAATTATTTTTTTATCTTTTATTGCAATTAAACATAATACCAATTTGAAAAATATTCTCTCGTTTCTGCTCGTGAAATACTTAATACATAGTAGCGCACGTACCGAAATGTTAAGCAAATATTTTTTGTATAGCATAGTATAAAATTGAAAATGACAACACACTGAGTTTTTATGCTCAATCTTGTAGGTTTTCTTGTATTTCCATATCCTTTGATACGCCGACAAATTTGCTCAATCGTGTCGTAAAAAAGGTTATTTTTTTATACTCAATTGTGTTGTAGTCACTTGACGGACCCTTAAATCTTAATAATTTTTTACTACGTTTTGGGACACGTGCTGTACCTGAAATTCTAAATTTTCCTAACACTCGTTATTGGTATGGTGATATGTGAACTGTGAACATGATGGACGCGACATAATATTATAAAATAATAACGGAAATTTCGTTACACTTGATGAAGTTATATATTCAAATCAAAAGATATGTTTATGATCCAATGATGAGCTTTTGATGGCAATTCTTTATTCTTTTTTTTTTAGGTATCCAGTTTGATAAAATATGATACATTGAATTGAAAAAGGTATGTGGTATATATATTACGAGCACGGTAGATAACCTATTATATTGAATCACGTATCATACCCAAAAAGAGTTACCTTCATAATTTATAAAAATACAATATTCCATAGAGGCCTATCAATCGACCGACCTATACTACACGTCTCCCCGGGTCTCTTCAGAAGTATTTTCTATTATTATTATTATTATTATTATTACTATTACTATTACTATTATTATTATTATTGTTATGATTCCAGGGCATATGTATATAATATAATATATGGGTAGGTACTTACGGTGGAGTGACGGCCGAGTGGGCACGTAAAACCGAAGACCGCAAGCGTGTATAATAAATTCAACGCGCACGCCGCTGCAGTATACTAGTGTGCTAGAGTTGGTAGCAGAGGGGGGGGGGTACGTTTTTCAAGATCCGAAAGGTCTGCTGGTCACCAGATTTATGGCCGTCGAGCGATGTGCTCGTATTATTTCCCCTCGAGTGTTCTCCGTCATGTAGTAGTAATAATAATGCGGACTGCGCAAAATGTCAACGAATAAAATTAAACTCTCCTCAACCATCCCCAACCGCCAAAACCCTGTAGTCAAACCCGACGATATGAGCAACGTTGTGACCGACATGAGTGAGGTTAGGTGTTGGCGAAGAGAGAGTAACGGCAGGAATAAATAAAAATTTAAAATCAAAAACAAATAATGCGACACTTAGGATATAATATATAACACAAAATCGACCACCATGTCGCTGCGTTCAACTGGTCGTGTTAAAAAAAAAAAACAACAAGACATATTACAGTGTCGCATTCAAAGGGTGGCACATTTCCTAAACAATTTAAAAAATAAAAATAAATGTTCACAAATTCAACAATATATTTAGTCGTCTGCAACTAGTGTAGTAGTGTCACTAGTTCAATTTTTATCGACTACAATCACGGTTATAAATTTATAATAAATTATTATTGGCATATTTTAATACGCACACTAGAAAGTAACACTAAAAAATGTTATTGAGACAAGCCATAATGATAAATATAATATATAAAAAACTCGAATTACAAAATAAGTTTTTAATTTTAAATTCTATTAAGTCAGTGACCCAATAAGTATTACCATGGCCTGACCCGTCGTTTCCAGTATACACACATTCAATCAATCTCGCGAAGTAGCTGCAATATCGTCTATAGACGACTATACCGAGTGCTGATACTGAGTTAAAGTTTACTATAATCTACAATATTATAACTTTATGCAATTTATCAAACTATTAAATAAAAAAAAAAAAAAAAAACAAGTCTAAATCAAAGGATGTTGATTAATACCTACAGGCTACAAGGTGTCCCGCGAGGATTTACCCATTGCGATATCTCGCATTATTTCGTGAATTCTGATTGTATAACAAGATTCACAGGGATAAKAACTACAATTATTTCATTTTTAAATTTATTTTAATGTTTTTGTAAAAAATGTAAAAATATATTTTTTCATTTAATTATTTCCAAAAAAAAATAAAAATAGCCGTTTTGTAGAGTTTGTTTTTCTGAAAACATTGACGTTTCAAAATTTTATTTTCATTAATTTCCTGATTTTTTATATTTTTTCCAGTTTTGAAGATAAATATGATTATAATATTTACTATTATATGAACACTGAAAGTATTCGGCCAGTCATATGGGAATGCGGGCGGCGCGGTTACATGTTTGATAATATATTACGGTGTTAAATAATTCGCAATTTTTCTCGAAACTAAAAAAAAAATTAAAAGTCAGGAAATTAATAAAAAATAAAATTTTGAAACGTCAATATTTTCAGAAAAATAAACCCTTTAAAATTGCTATGGTCAATTTTTTCGGAAATAATTAAATAAAAATATATATTTTTATATATGCGATGATTTTGAACTAGATTATTGTTAAAAATACTCAGTTTAAATTTGAATCGATTTTGTATCTTGTAAAACAAAATAGTTAAGTGATATCATATTATTTGTGTAAACACGTAAATGATCGTGAATAACATCGTATTATTAATCGAATTAATCGTAATTACAGATAGGTACTGTTTTACTTACTTGTTTTATTAGTTGATGATTTTTAAAATTTTTTTGACTGCATAGGCTACACGATTGGAAATCTTGAACAACTTTTGAAACTAATATAATTTGCACTTTTTCAAATGCTTTGGCTAGATTCAAAAACCAATTTTTTTTCGCCACTCAGGTTGTCATGAAAACCCTAGAATAACAATGTTTAAATTATTTATCATCTATTATATTGATTAATTATTAAAACGATTTGCCATCATTTAATTATATCAATGATTTTTCTAAACGATTTAGGATTTACAGTTGTACCTACTGCAACTAAACATTAACAAATAAATATAAAAAAATATTTTGAATTGATACATTATAACCAACCCAATCCTAACTTGTGACACATACAAAATCTCAATAATATTTAAATTTTATACTATTTCCAAATCGTTAAGTATCGATTAATAATGAATAATAATCGTAAAGTATTAACGTCTATTCTTATCTATTCGCGTCTCTTTTTGGCGACGGCGTTAATCATAATTCTTCTGTGTATCATAGGGAACTGAATAATTTCGTTGTTTCCACTAACTTGTCCCATGTTCCGGTATTAATTAATGTGAATACGAAAACGAAGTAATAGTACCTATACGCTAAGCGTCTGATTCAAAAAACCAAAGTAAAATACCGCTTACTTGTGAATTGTGAAGTAAACCCATTTTGCTAATTGTCAGCCAATAGAATAATGCAGAAATCATAAGTTGCATAAGAAGTAAGATATTAGTTTTCAATTTTATATAGATGAAAAATATAGAAAATTGATACCATTAATAATTAGGTAACTCCTACAATATTTTTTTTTAATTCTATTAAGTTAAGGCTCAATATCTATGATCGTTAACCTAAAGGTTATTTAGTAGGTTAACAACTTTGGCGAGGATTTATTACTAAACCTCGGGTAGTCGTCCATCTGAAAACCATAGTGACCACCGGTTGATGCTTGACATCAGAACACATTTGTGACTGAGGCGAACCACCACGCCACACTAAACCATACTCTCTATTGTTGTATGTAAATGTCACTTATACCTAGTGAATTTTCGATTTATTTTTGGAATATTTAATATTATGACCTTTTCCCACTTTGGAAATAAAATCAATAATCTTAACGACAGTGAATTACATATTTTTATACGGTTAAAATATTTAATATTTACTGAACAAACTTTTGTCTTACGTTAAAATATTTAGTTTCTTGAAATCGTGTACGTACAAAGTGGTACTGCTTTACTTAGGTAGTTAGGTGTTTATGGTTCGCGACTTTCAAGAAATTGTGCTTATCCCTATGCCATTGATTAATTAATATGCAGTATACCTACTAGTATATTTATTAATCAATACCTGTTGGCTGTTAGTCGCAAATACTAATAACATTAGATTTTTATCTCGAAAGTAGTCTATTTAGTATTATTCTTCTTCTTCAAAAAAAAAAATTATATATCACTCCAATAACCGTTTGTAATCCTCACTCAGAGATAGTAGAGAGCTGAAGAGCATCGTGTGCAGCTTGAGGTTTAATCATAAACGTGATTTTTCGTCCACCCACTCACTTAAACCGTCGCGCGACGTTTAGTTCTCTGCCCTCAACATTCTGCACCATTTCGCGGCGTTCCTTTACATTAATTCAAACCACAAGACGGCGACGATGGTCATTATTCATTCGTCGCGTTTCTATTCGCCACCGCACAACTCGGCTTGTTATTATTAATAAATTATTTTTACCAAAGAAAAACTTCTTAATCTAATCTAATATATATTATATCCCGCTCCGTATAAATTGGAAAATATGCGCGCGAAAACTCGCCGTATTTCCCGAAACAAAATTACCTCTTTCTCCGACCTCCCCCACCCGGCGACGGCACCACCACTGCCGCCAACGCATCCACCTCCACCTCATCCTCGTCCAGAGATTGAAATTCCAGGCATAAGTCAATTTGCTCGCGTTACCATGGGAATAGTGTGAGTTTCAATTATTTATCCGAACGGGAAAAGCTAGTCGAGACGTGTGTGAATGTGTACGACGAACACGCAAACACTATGCATTAGAGAAGAGTGTTGTTATATTATATACATAAAATACATAAAAGAGTGTGTGTGTGTGTGTGTGTGTGTGTACGCGCACGTGCGCGATATGCGACGGAATGATGTTTTTAAAAAAATTGCAATTTTCCTTTCTGAAATTGTGGAATCGGTTGTACGCAGTGTGTGCACAGAGAGTAAATTTTTTATGGTACCTACTACACAGGTATATTCGAGCACACATTAAATAATAATAATAATACATCGGTTTATTCTTTGCGTGTCATGGGTGGGTAATGGGTATAAAATAAATCGTCGGATAATAATCGCGCAAGTTTGTATAATATTGTTATTATGTTATTATTATTATTATTACTATTATTATTATTATTATACTCCGAGAAGATCTAATTCAGACTAGCACGTAATCCGAGACAATGGGTAATGTGTAACATAATGCTATGTAAAATAAGTCTGAAACACAAGAATCTTGTCAATATAAACATATGAATGTGTGACGGCGTAACCTGATGAAAATAACGAAAAAAGCCAATTAATGCGGTTTAAATCGGTTCAGAAGTATTTCATTAATTAACCATACCTATACAACCTACCCATAACATGCAGCATTTCAGTTCATAAATTGTTTGTTTTTTTAAGCCCATAGCTTGAATATTATTATATATTTTGTAAAGTTTGAACTCTAATTGTTATCATCGTATTTTACTATTTTAGGCCATACAAACAAACACACACGTCGTATACTTGGCAAGACGTGTGTTACAAAATTGATTATCATTTACGTACTACTAGTTACTAGTTGGGTAAATGTTATACTATACATGCATACATTAATTTCATAATCTAGACATAAATATTTTCAAAAAAATATCGACGGTATGAATAATTGCAAGTATCTGTTTAACAACAGTTGTTTTATTTAAACTTTAAACGTCGCTTAAAAGTATACTACGTATATTGCATACTATAGGTACATAATATTCAAAGAATATTTAGATTTAAAATAAGTGTACAAGTTGACGATTTTTCATAAAAATAAAATTGTAAACAAGTTAAATCATGAAAGAAAAAAAATGAATTTACCGAATTTGTTGTTATCTACCCGTAGTACACGCTTTTAACCAATGTAAAGACGGGCCACCGCCCGCTTAGTCTAATCCAATATTCCATAATGTTCAAAACCTAATTTGTCCTATACAAAGTTTGGAGACCGCACCTCGATTTATACAGCGTTGTTTTTGCGCATACGTCGTGCCATATTAAATGATAACCGAACGAGATAATATTATTGCTCCACGATGATTAATAAGATTTGATTAACAGCATAGATAATTTAAATATTAATGAAAATTTGGATAATTATATACGAATATTATACGTTATCTTTAATCGTCACGCGTGTTATCACGAACAAGCGAATTAACACCGAACATTGTAGATTTTCCAAACTTTCAAGAAAAGACGTATCGTTCTCGGTGCCCGATTTAGTGGAGGCGCTGTGGGAATACAATAGGCCGGGGATTCGAAGCTGAGTTTGTTTTAGGAGCCTCAGGTTGTTGTTATCGATTTTCTAACTTTGTAAAGTGATAAACTTTTAAGACTTATAATATTTCAACGATGATCAAGACAAAGAATATTTTAAGATAATATATTATACCCGCACCCGTTTATTTTTAAACTATTATGGATTCAGTTTTGCCACTACTCGTGGCTAAGAAACATATGTGAGCCATGAGGCACTTACCTTAGTATTGAAACGCTTTATTTTTTAAATCCATTTTCACTTTTATCGAATACTAAAAAAATATTAAAATTGTTGAGATCAATTACTTTATATGAATAAAGTAACTTTTGTTTTGAAGGGCCTCCAGGATGTGAGGAGTTTCACCCCGGTCTTCCGATGAGACATAGATCCGGTACTTCTGGTCCTACGTAACAGTTTAACGATATTAGTATGAACAATGGTGCCATATGATATTAAAGATCTACGATATTATTTGTCTGAGCGCAGAGAACACATTATTTTACAATCATTTTTTTCCATGGGAACACGCGTGTCACCAGGGTGAGTAATGCGTTGCTATTTAGGGTGAAATAAAATTTCAAAGAAATCGAAGGCGGGAAATTCGAATAAATGTCGGTAAAGAAGAGCGGCATTAAATTGTTCACTCTAAGACGGAAAATATCTGATGACGGACCTGCGTACACGTAAAGTGACCTATAGTCGAACGATTCATTGCGATGCAGCCGCGCTCGATACAAAATATAGTCGTTATATTATAATAATATGACGTTTGGGTTTAATAATCCGTAATACTTACCCATTATATAATATCATAGCACGATCTATGCCGTTTGCACAGTGTAGGGCCATCATAATATATAGGTCAAGCATTAATGCATTGCAACGGCACGACCGCGACATTAATCGTTTTCTGCAGATTTATTTCTCCGAAACATTACAAATATACAGTACCTATAAGGACGATCAAAACAATTTACAGGAATGGTTTGGGTATCATTATTGGCAATAATATTATAATATTATAGGATTTACGACCGTAATCAAAACATCGTAGGTATTATAGTGCTCGCGGTAAAGCACGATTGAGCGTCCATATACCTTTTTAGCAACACGATTGAGCATAGGATATTTTGTGCGACGTTGTCACACAGTCGAAATTTTGTAATTTATTATTTTCACGTATTATTACGCCAATTATTATGGTACTAAACTTAAACGAGCGCTATCAGTAAGCACAGCCCAGCTTTATGGATAGCTTTACTGATTATTAAATTATAGGTGTATATAGTTTTGTTCATTATTGTCAATAAAAACAACACATTATGGTATTGAATTGTTAAAAAAATAATAAATAAATTATGTTTAGAACAATTATATTATAATTCAAAATATCTATATCTATGTAACATAGACTATGTTTGACATGATAAAAATTATTTAAAAAAAAAAAAATTAAATGAGATGTCCATTTACCTAATAATAATATAACCATAATTTAATCGGAGACTTTTAACTCTTACTATATTCTGAATAATTATAGTTATTATTTGAATAAACATTTTTTTTATATAATATAATTAAAAATTAAAAATTTTACTGAGTAGTCAGTACTCGACAGTGCAATTTAATTTATGCAGTAGGTAAAACAATTAAAACGAATATTAAATTATTGAAATACTTTAATAATGGCATATTATATAAAAATCGAATGATGCGTTTGGCCAATGAATACCCAACCTTATTTAGTCTTTAATACTGAATGTCTGAATTTATTATGTGTTTTGTTAATTATTAATTACTTTATGTCGTCAAAATGTTTTATTATTTAAGTTATATTAACCGATACTTTAAATTACTTTCTGTTGCCATATATTAGATTATTTAAATGTATGTAAAATGTAATTGCGCATTTGGGCCTTGTGCCCGTTATATAATAATAAATAAATAGATATAGGTGGTATTATGATCTAAGGATGGATAATATATCATTAGGATTTCAAAATGAATTAAAACTCAAAGAACAGTCACCATATACATATATTTTACACTATTGAAAGCATATTGATAGAGTAACAACTGGACAACAGTAAATAT